AGACTCATTTCACTCTGGACACCAATGAAAACCAAAAATTATTCCCATAGAGTTCCAAACTAGAATACAATCGCTACTTACTGTCCCCTAGCTTTCAATGATATCCCAATTGAGCTCAGTATGTAGCGAATAAAATCTAAAAGTCCAATCAGTATCTACAAAGTCCCCGTTCAACTAAATTATGATAATCAGCTCACTAGTAACTTTTAGATGAGTTCTTGAAGTTCTATTGTCAAGTTATAACCCATGGATTTCAGACATACCGACAGTGAAATAGTTGTCACCCATGTCATCGAATGATTGTTTCAATGTATCGAGAATTCACCTAGGTTGAAAATCTCTACCATTGGATCCCAACTCAATGGTTCTAACGATTAAGTGTTCACCTCATCATCTTAAAGTACTAGATTCGATCTTTGTTATGGTCATAGTTGTTCACTATTATAAAGTTCTGCATCAAGACAAGACAACTGCTTCAACGAGACCCTAAATAAAATCAATATTTAACCAATACAACCTACAAAACCTAAACGTATCTCCTTCAAAAATAACCCATTCAACCAAATAAAGAAAATTATTTTCAAAAAATCGAATTTGTCCAACTATTTCATCATCATAACGACCTTGTTTAATCATTCATACATGAAAATTATTCTTTTGAAAGACACATTTCTGTCAAGCGAATAAACAACACAATCATATTCTTCATTTGTTTTCTCTTCTGTGTGATTTTAGACTAATATAAATTTAATAAAAATAAACAATGTCAAAAAACTGAAAAATAATTTATAAATTAAATTAATTTTATTATTATTACTATTATTGGCAATAAAAATTATAAACACCCCCCCCCTCTTGTTTCTATAGTAACAACCAACTTATTTGTTATGTGAGGTATTTAGTAATAAGAGTAAAATAAAGAGTTCATCTCTCTTTTTTTTCTAATTTTTCTTTCATTCATTTAAATGTTAAAATGTCAAATTAAACAAACATTATACCTAACTAACTAATTAAAACAAAAATACATTATGATTTATTATCATTTTAACATACCACTACTACTACTACTACTACCACATTGTATGATTATTAGTAGTAATGACTTGTATTGATAATAAAATTATTACTATTATGATTGTGTGATAATTCATAAACTCTAAATGAAGGATCTCAATTACACGATGTAAAATTATGATTTCTCTCTGCGTGTATGTGTGTGTAGAGGGAGGGAGACTGTTGTCCTTCCCCCACATTAGGGAAAAAATATAAAAAATAGATTGAAGTAAGGATAAATGAAATTTCATTTTGAGGAATAATGCTTAATTTTATTTCATGTTTAGTTGCATTAAAAAAAACATCAAATGTATCTCCCACCCCCATCTATTTTTTTCATGTTCCCACACATAATATTTAATTGAATTACGGAAAAAATTTATCATATTATCCTTAGATAGTTTGTTTATGAAAAATAAATATTAAATTATCGTTCTGATTTGAAATAGGGGGGGGGGTACTTATGATAATTATAGTAATAACGATATTATTACTATTATACTATGAGGTAATCCAAGTAATCTAATTACAAGTTGACATAGACAAAAATAATTTAGGATAAAAAAATAGCTTAAAGGTTAGTGGGATCATGAACTATGCTATTAAATCATATTTATTATGGTCCTAGAAAACAAAAAGAGTGATAGAGTATGATATCCGTCTATTGGGTAATGAATTTAATATTAAAACATTTATTATTTCTGAAGGGGGTTTTGTGGAGATTTTGGTAATTTTATATAGTTGAAATCATGAGTCGATTGAAGCTAGACCACCATGGAAAACCTGGAAGTACTGGATAGCCGTTTCGTCCTATTGTGGGACTCCTCAGTAGTGTGCATCCACGATCTCACTTCGCGAGATTCAAACGTACGACCTATCAGTCTCGCACTCGAGCACTTAACCGATAGACCACTGAGCTGGCCGGCACCCAGTGGTGTTAATGTCTAACTTCTATAAAGTTTGTCATACTTTGTTTTTGCAGTACAACAAACAAAAACAAAAAAAATTCTATTTTCAACAAAATAATTTTGACAATATTGTTGTTAATTGAGTTAGATTTTCAAAATATAGAAAACGTCAACTATTGAAGGTGAAGTTTTTCCTTTTAAATTAATCTTTAATAAAGCTTAAACTAATTTGTAAATCTTTTAGAAACTAAATGATAAACAAGCAGTTATTATGGTAACCAGAATTTTAGAAAAAAAACTTTTATGGCTCAATGAAAGAAACAAACAAAAAAAGGGAAAGATGATTGATGAGGAGTTTTTCAGCTCGGCAGGTAATTAAAATAAACCATTGTGTCACTGAATAAAAATAAAAAGAATTCAGTGAAAAAATTTTCTTTTCAATGAAATTATTTACTTAGCACCCAAATACCTTGGTATGGCCGAAGATGGGGAGAGTCCGCTCTCCCTCTCGAAATGCTCTCACACAGTCACCCGTATACAGCCTCTTCCAAGGAAGTCATACTCATTACCTTCTCGTGGCGTTTGTGTTGTTTACGAAATTGAGAGGATGAAAAGCGAATGTCCGGTGCTTTAACTGGGTTGTTGGACACAGAAAGTCCACCTAGGGGAGTTGGCAAACCCTGATTCCAAACCAATGATAAACATGGGCTCCAGGATCTTGAGGGAACAAAAGGCGCACGAACCCATTGTTGTTCACCGGCTAACATGGAACTGAATCTCCTTACGCTGCTCTACTGCCTTGTGGATCGGACCATTAAGTCGAAGGCTCCGGGTGTAGCCCTCTAAGAAAACCACCTGCTTCAGTTTGGGCACCTGGACAGTATCATAGCCCTCACACAATTAAATGAAATGACAACTTTTTGTGTGACGCCTGTATATCTGGTTCCCCCTAGTACCAATATTTATGTGTTCAAATAAATAAATAAATAATTTACTTAAGCTGTACATTCTCATTTAATCAACTGTGGAAACAACGCTCCAAAGTAGTCTTCTTCTAAAGTAATCTATACAGTCAAAGGAATTGGATCGAAGGGAAGTCAAATCAATATATAACAGTAATTAGTATAACAGCAATCAGTAAGTCAAATGGAAACTCATAATGAAATGAATATGAACATCAACAAGTCTGAGATGCAGGTACATCCAGCTTACGAGTCTCAAATAGGACAAAACGCGCGTCAAACTGGATTACACTGCTAGCCACTATCCATCTTTGCTTAGAATGCCTGTGAATTAATTAAGGTTATATCGAGGCAATACGCACAGTATGCATATATGTCTATAAGGAGACTGACCAGTTGCAGACCTAAACAATAATTCGGAGATTCAACCAAACAATACCAAGTGAATGTCTTCAGTTATTATTATTACCTTAAACAAGTTTTCTTGAATATTATTCAGCTTTTTTTTATTATTATGACCTTTATGTTTGTCGTTTTTCTTTACATCTGTCAATTGGACAATTATCTGACCTGCAAATTATTTTTACCCTAATATTCTTTTCATTGCTCTTGATTATTACGTAATCTCATTTGTTAATAAGAGTCTCGAATCACTTTATGATGCAATCTTTGCTAATCTTTTATAGACATATGTTTTCCATATAACTATAAATACGAATGTACAGCTTAAGTAAATGATTTCGTTGAAAAGAACATTTTCTTCGTTGAATTCTTTTTATTTCTATTTAATGAGTTATATAACTACTACTTACTAACATTCATACTTGTCTTTGATTACTTATATCTGAAATTTAACATTTAGCTTTGCAATCAATAAAGGTCAGAAGGGGATTTGTGGAGATTTCAGTATATTTCAAAGTTGAAATCATGAGTCAATCTCGCGAGTGCGGAATCATGGGTGCACACTGCTGAGGAGTCCCATAATAGGACGAAACGACCGTTCAGTGCTTCCAGGTTTTCGATGGTGGTCTAGCTTCAATTGACTCATGATTTCAGCAATAAAGGTCATTTTAATGAGTCGAAAAGTTTCTTGTTTAAATGGAGTTAACACTATGAATTGACTTTAAGTTAATAGACATTGAAAATCAGAAAGCATATTAATAGCTATTTCGTCCAAATATGAGACTCGTTAGGAGTCAATACTCACAACCCAGTTGGATATTAAACCTAGCATCTTCAATCCTTGTGAAAATTATGTTAACTTTAAACGATTTGATTATGAATTCAGTGATTTTACACTTAGAAAATCAGTTGTTTCACTACATTACGTAACTGCCACTCAGCGACGTTTATCTAAGGTGTAATATGACTGAACGTCACCGACTATGGCTTAACTTATTGATAGTTTTTTTAATTATCTAGAATTTGACTTATTTTGTACTGAAAGTCATATAGAACAAAAATATGGGCTGAAAAATAGGCTTGTAACGATAAATATTCGTTATCTCATTTCCCATTCCGTCGGAAATTATACTTACATACGAAATGGGTGTACATCTCATAAACATCAATATCATATTTCATAGTTTTATAAGCAAAGATGGATAGTGGCTAGCAGTGAAATCTAGGACTCGCGTTTTATCCTATTTGAGACTAGTCAGCTGGATGTACCTGTATCTCAGAGTTGATATTCATTCTGGGACTTGAACCCAGTACCGTTCGCTTCAAACGCCATCGCGTTATCCACTCAGCTACTGAGTCCAACTTCGCTTATAATGAGTGTGAGTTACGGCTATATCGAGGCAATACGCACAGTATACCAATAAGAGACTGATCAATTGCAGTCCTAAACATCAAGGAGAAGATTCAAACAAACAACACCAAGTGAACTTATATTTCATAGTTGCTTCAAATAATTGTCATCCTCTATTACTGTATATTTTTGAAGATATTTATTGAAACTATTGTTTCAACAACTTTTGAAAACCCAATTACACTATCGGTGTTTATAATTTTCAATCCGCCTAATCAACATTACTATTATTAGAAACTATGAATTAGCTTAGTAAATACTTACTATAGTTTTGTACAAATGGATTACATTGAGGTTGTAAAAATGTCCATAAGATACCTTCACCCAACATGCACTCACTTTCCAAAGTCGAGTAAACATGAGGTTCACATAGGACCTATGTTAAATAGACAGAAATTATTATGTGATGTAGTCGATGTATATATGTAAAGTAGCTATAAATAGATGAAAATATTTCAATACTGAATTTTCTTAAAAACCTTATATTTTGTGTTGAAGGTTCGTCTAAGTCTAATACTGATACATGAACTTCTAATAAGCGAACCCAACTATCTACCGGAGTAAGAAACCTAAGAATGAGTAAAACTTCTAATGGGAAACCTGAATGGAAATATATGCACGAACTCATTCATGAATATGGATACATATCTTCCGTGGATAATTAGGACGAATTTTCAACAGATAGCGTATTTATGTTCCCCCGAGTAATTAAGCTCACTCCTAACCAACAATATGCCCATCAGCATCTTATACTTCTCGTTTCGCTCTTGACTGGTCTCTGGTTGGGTCAGTCTATCACCACATAGTATAATTTACAAGCTTCGCATCAAAAATAAACCTTTTATATCATGTTCAATGCAGAGTAATTAACATTAGTCACAAAAAAGGGGATGTATTAACCATTTTCATTATAATTGATATCTGAATTATACATTAGTGCACCTTTTAGAATGAATCATGTTGATTATTTATTCACTTACAATCAGATAAATTGTTTAGCTACATCGAGACATACATAAACAGATGATCTGACAGACAGAAATGTAATCATAACATTATTTTCTGTATGATGGGTACTGGGTTCGAGTATTGGAGGGAACATCAACTCTAGTGTCCATGTGCATTCAACTGACGAATCCCAAACGAGGTAGAATGCACGTCCTGAATTCCACTGCTCACTACATTCTTTCTACTCTATATCAACTTGTCTCGTAATTGATATATTGAGGCAACCCGCACAAAATCTACATATCCCAATCAAGACTGATCAAATTCCTGTCGAAATATCAACAACGGAATAACTCAAACTATCAGAAATTAAACTGATACCAAATGTGTAGTTTATCTAATTAAATTATCCAATAGTTTCCATCGGGAACCAATCTTGGTTACATAATTACTGAAAACCATGAGACACTTGACAGCTGCAGTACGTATCTTCCGATTCACAAGGAATCAAACCCAAGACATTTATACTTCGCGATGAGCATTTAGTTTTAGACCAATAAGCCGACACTCAAAAGATTACATTTCTAGCTTCAATAGATATTTCACGACCATATTTCGGTACCAATGGTTGGTAACTACCTCACATTCACCACTGTTGAACTGAAATATTGGCAGCCTTCCACCAGAACTCCTGGAATTAATCCTCGCTAAGCAATTGAAAGATCCTACCGTTAGTGTCAAACGGGATCGATGGTTCGCACTGTTAAGGAGCCCCGTATTAGGACGAAAAGAGTGTCCAACGCATTTTGCATTCTAATGTTTATGTCAAATAAACTCGCCGTGTAAGCTATGTAATTCAACAATCTACACAGACCTTCTAAAGAAATCCCTGATAATACATCTGATTCCTATGATCTGATGCTACAAATGAAGCATCTTGGTTACACGATGGACACAAATGATGGAGTAATCGTTACATCTTAAAGACCAAAATTAGAATTGATGTTAAATAGAAAGTATCTTTGCATTGTTAACCTAAATGATATAAGTAATGATCAGACTTCAATAACACAGAGTTAATATCATCATACGAGTAGTTTACTCAAAATGTATCAAAACTGACTTGATTATCTTTTAAATCTAATATATGACTTATTTGAAATCCACCTGATATTGGGCATAATGTTTTGCTGAGTTCTGTATTTGGAGTTAGAGCTAAAAATGTAAAAGAATTTAATGATAATAATATACTGAACAGTACTATGTAAATACTAGTCATTTTACAATAAACAATTTTCGTGAATTCAGCCATTAAAATCACTAAGATCTCCACAAATCAACATTCTAATAATAATCATGTGCTCATTAATGAATAACTTCAAGTTAGATTTTCTAAAGTTCTAGTGAGAAGTCGTGACCAGTGAAGTTCAATCCGTGTCGGTTGGAGACAGCTATCCACTTCACACAAAGGTGGCATAAGATCATAGATCGATTGAAGCTAGATGCTGGTTCAGTGGTCTAGAGATTAAATGTTCGCGCTCGAGATCGGGGGTCCTGTGTACGGGTCCCTTGTGCGGGATTGTGAGTGTTCACCGATGAGGAGTCCCATACTAGGACAAAACGGACTTCCAGTGCTTCCAGGTTTTCAATGGTGGTTTAGCTTAAATTGACTCATCAATTCAACTATTAAGATATACAATTTATTAACTAAGGAAGTTAGACAGTTAACACTAGTTGGATTCGATGGAAGTCGCGCCATACCACAAGTGAATTTACGGTGAAATTAATAACCACGGGATTACAAACTAATGGTCTTGAGAGTAAGTTAGCTGTGAGTATTATTGGTCCTGAGTTTTACTTCTACCAGGAAGATGATGTGTCACGCTGAAGAGTTTCATACTAAGATAAAATAGTCGCATTATCATTTCCACTTTTTAACGGTACTCTCAAATGATACTAGTCCTTGACATATACTAACTATGAATCAGTTCATCAAAAGAAACTGTGAATTCCATTAATCTGTGAATAATATTCGTAATCTATTAAAATATTGTTTTTAGGAAGTTAAAAATCAATTTTATCAGAGAATAAACAATTTGATATTCCATGTAGATTTATCTCACTTTGGATGGTGTTGAAATTCAGAAAGGACTGAAAAGCTGTTTTGTCGTAGTATAGGATGCTTCTGTATTGTACATCCATGACTCCACCAAGAATAAACCCAGTACCTTCAGTTCTTGTAGAAAGTGCCTAAACCTCAGAAAATTGGATTCGCTAACTGGTAAATACTTCCAGTTTTAATTAATTTGTGATACGAAGAGAGGATACTCAAATGACATTGGTTATGGCTGCTTCTTTCCCGACATACTTGAAGTTCGCTGGTCACAACTTCACAACAGCACCTCAGAAACTTATCTAGAAGTAAGTCTCTAGTAAGCTGAGAATTTTCAGTTTAGATGAATGTGTTGTAAAGATAAATTCAATTTATAGGTAATGGTCTCCACAAATTGATATCAGTTGAGATACTAGTTAAAAGAAGAGAACACTAGACATCTGTTTCATGGATTCCAGTGTGAAATCATGACTGATGGACTTTAAATATACTTAGAGCAAAACAATTTTGACCAGTGACATTATATAATAATAGTCCCACTAAATTGAGCATCGATTATATTTTGAAATGTTTACCATTTGATATCAACCTAGTGATTCTAATGACTAACTCTTTCCAGTGAGATCTGTATGTTTCAGGTTTAATACGTAGTGATTTTGTAGGTTCTCACTTCTAAAAAGTCCTATTCTATGATAAATCAGTTGTCCATTGCTTACTAATTCTCAACAACATCGTAACTGAAATGAGTCCATGTGGAATATTATCAACAAATCAAACTAACTGTCATAGAACTCCTTCATCTACACTAAAAATAAACAGTTATCTAAAAATACTAAGTTAAGGGAGAAATCATATCTGAATGCATTTTAAGATACTATTCAGCTTACTTACTGGCAATCCACTTTGATGAATCTTGTTTAAATGCTGTAGGATGACACAATGTTAAATCAGCTGTAGATGAGGTATGTTCACCTATTTATTAAAAATAAAATAAAACAGTGAGTAATTTACTTGGTCATGTTTGTCTGAATCTTCTCATTGCTGATTAGGACTGCAATTGGTCAGTCTCTTATTGGCATATAAGCATACTGTGCGTATTGCCTCGATATAGTCTTAATTCACAAGCATTATAAGTAAAGATGGATAGGGCTAGCAGTGGAATCCAGAGTGAACATCAATTCTGAGATGCAAGTACATCTAGCTGACGAGTCCCAAATAGGACGAAACGCGCATTATGCATTCCATTGCTAGCCACTATCCATCTCTGCTTATAATGCTAGTGAATAATTTAGTTAAAATTATGGTAATTTAATGTAGATAGTATTTACAATTTGATGCATTTGATTTGTGTCAAAATTTACTAAAGCTTTTATTAGACTTTAATGTAAATACATGTATCATATACTTGGTTACATATTTTGTTCATTCAATAACCATTAGAATGCTTACAGACATATGTAGTTCAATGATTATGTCACATATATACTGACTTAACTAATCGGACTATATTGTGTTTCGCACCATGAGTGTGTAAAGAGTAATTTATAAACATTAAACCCCTATGAATGATTTTCTTTATTCTGATCTATAGTGAAATAGTCATTAGTATACTAATTAAAAAGTATCAAATTACAGGTTTATCATGTTGGAACTGGAAAAGATAACGGTTTGTATATGAAAATTCTGTTAAAATCTAACCTATAAATATTTTAGAATTAAAATAAAACTTAAGTGTTACTTAATGTATCACTTAGTGATAACTGAAGTCATACTAGGATAGTGTTTCAATGAAGTTTTGTATATTTGAAAATTATATACTACTTACTTATCTCATGCAGATAATACATAGCTCAGATACGTTATTCTAAACGGTTCACACTGATAAGGATGTTAACAAAACGGTGAGTAAAAAAGAGAGCACATGAATGAGTTCAATCATAAATGACGATGATCTCGAAAAGGGCATATATTATCTACTAGCTATTCGGAATGGAAGGACGCTATAACATGACTGAGATAGTAAGAACAAAGAATTGTCATCAAACTCGAAATATTATCGTACCTTGTTGGAAGTAGATTCTCGATTAAACGTTTTAAAACTATGTTTTTGATTGATCGTATTGGTAATGTAGTGAACAAGAACACGATTGGGGACAATCGAATATATTGGAGCACAAAATTACAGACTATCTCACTAAAATCTGACAACCATACAGTAAACAGCTAATTTGCAAATTATCAACCAATTGTCTAAATCGTGTCCATTCTTTCTGTAAATATCAGTTCATAGTCTCCGATTATTATTATTGTTCATGCATTTTCACACCAATAGCGCTTCACTTAAGTTCTTTCCTTATCGATCTTCTACTGAAATACATTCAATGCCCAACCATTGTTATGTACTACTTGTGTGGATATAAGTAGCTCACACCATAGTAAGATTACAAAGGATAAATCGAACAGATTTCACAACTTTAAAAATGTTATTCCCCTCTTTGATACTCATCTTTATTAATATACGCCTTCTTGATAATCACTGTCATTAATGCTTGCCTTCATTGATGTCCTCTCTTTTCTCAACCACTCCCTTTCTCTCGAGTCCTTATGAATGAATACCATTTTAAACTGAGCGATATATTCTACTCGTTTATATCACTAGTTGCATAATGTCTCTCAGTCAGCCGGACGAAAACATTGAGATACATCAAAGAATTACAGATATTTCTATCTAATCGACATAAGGAATCTTTATTTCGTAATTTATGCATGCTTTCTCCCCAAAAAGTACCAATAAAGCACTGAACACTACAATAAAACTATTCAACAGATGGTTTTGTCTGACAAATATACCTGGCTAGTTGCCAGAGGATTAAAAACAGGAACAATACAACGATGTCTGTATGATATTTGCAGTTATGCGTGTGGGAGTTTTATGGAAGGTATAAAATTTACATAGATTTCCAATCACAAATCGACCTTAGTTAAGCAATAATTGGAAACCCGGAACCATTGGACAATCGTTTCATTCTATTGTTGGATCCCTCTGTAGTGAGCGTCAATGACCTCACAAAAGGACTCGAACATAGGACTCGAGATCTCTCGATAAAACGCTCAACACTAGATTACCAAGCGAGCGTGTCTAACTTCAATCAATTCACAATATTGCGCGACCATCTTTTATAGTTTATGGTAAATGATTGAATCACGCTCGACATAGTTAAACTTCACTGATTACGACCTCTCACAAGAAATCCAGAAGTTGGATCTAGAAGTCAGTCACTAGTGAACACGTCAATTATGGAGACTAAATATTTTTCATCACATAGACCTCAATAATTAACAATAATCACAACAGGAATTTCTGTTGTGGAGTCATGGACGCACACTGATGAAGAGTCCCACACTAGGACGAAACTATTTTTCAATTCTTCCGAGTTTTCAATGGTTTTTCGTAATTTAAAATCTATGAAGATTATGCAGTGATTTAACTCTAGGTAAATCAATATTACAGTAATAATGTACAAAAATATAGTATACAGCGTTATTAACATGGTGAAATATTTATAAAACGTGGTACAGAATCAACATACACTAGTCAACTTGAACCTTCTTTATCATAGTCTTTTACATATATAATTGATACTTTATAAGTGGTGAGATGAAAGTTATCAAATTAAATGTAAGAAGGGAAACTGAAAAACATGAATTTTATTAGTGAACTTACTTAAAAATAAATTAAAAACTGAGACTGACTCTATTTCATTGATCGGTTCAAATTTAATACATTGATAAATGGATCTAGAAAATAAAAGAATACAAAACACTTAACAAAAAAACAAGAATACGGAACTCATTTTCCCAGTTTTATTTTTAAAAAATAAATAAACGATCAATCATTTTAGCCATATTGTAGTGTGGTCTACTTATATCCATATAAGTAGTATATGGCGATATCAGACATAGAATGTATTTTGGCAGAAGACCGATAAGGAAAGAACTGAAATGAAGCACAATTGGTAGGAAAATGCATGAACGATGGAGTTAGAGAAGATAAACTGATATTTACAGAAGGAACAGTGAAGATTGAGACAATTGGTTGTTATTTTGCATATTAATTGTTTGCTGTATGGTTATCAAAATTTAGTGAGATAGTCTGTTATGTTGTGCTTAAATACATTCGATTGTCCCCACTCGTCTTCTGTTCACTATAATATGCTGGAAGGAAAAAAGTTATAACAGATAATAGTTACTAATCTCTATCGAATTGAATTGGGCATTTCGTCAAGCAGACTAAATATTGTAAATCGACGACATCTCTGCGTGGATATAGAAAGTTTGTTTTAATTGATATCAGTACATGTCAATTAATGACTTTCATTCTAAAAATGATTAGAATGTGATTATTTGTTGAACAAATTCAATTTAATTATTATAATCTAGTGCTAGGTCACATAATCTAAAATCAAGCTTAGTACACTGATATAATAATTCTTGAATTCCCTCGAGCTATATATATCCAAGAATTATTTCATAACAGTAGAGATAGATGGTGACTAGCAGTGGAATCCAGGGCATGCGTTTTGTCCTATTTGAAACTCGTCAGCTGGATGTACCTGTATCCAAGAGTTGATATTCACTCCGGGACTCGAACCCAGTAACGTGGATTACAATTTCATCCACTGCTTTTTATTTATCTGTCCCATGTTGATTTGTTTTACATTTTTGTGTTTATTTACATTTACTTTACTAATGTGAAATGAGATAAATTTTAAAGATAAACACTCTAGTAAATACTACATAGACTATGCTCTTTATATAAATTGACTTGAGGCGATATTTGATTCAAATCAGGAGTAAAAGTTTGCTTTGATAAGAATAAAACGAACAATGATGTAAATAGAATAGTTTGCTAAAGTCCTTGAAACCTTATTTTTAAACAGAACTGGTTAGTTCTGAACTTTAATAGTTGTTTACTACATACTTCATAAAAGTAGAGTAAATGAAATATCGATCAATAGAATTCGATCAGCACTAAGAAGGACTTGACATGCATGACATTGATCACTATCCAATGATTAATCAATTGTGATTACATCTCAGTCCTACAGGAGGTCAGCCCGAATAGCTCAATGGTAACGTCTCTGATTGTGAAGCTGAGTGACACGGGATCGAATCCGTCGGGGAGCACCAGTTCTCTTAAGATTACAGGTACACATTGCTGACGAGTGCCAATTAGCCTCTTTTGTCTAGATAATTGCATAAAAGTAGTATGAGTAAAACTGAATAATTACTTAAAAGAAGCCTATATACCTGTTAAATTTAAAGTAAACATCATTATGTAATATAGATTGAACTCTATTTATCTATTATCGATAAACGTATTGAGGTCATGATTCTTAGCTAACATATACAACAAATGTATCTAACAGGAAATGTATGTATCTAAAGAGCACGAATGTGTTAGATTTTGGGGTTTTGTTCGATCTGTAATAACTGTGAATTACTAACAATCAAGATTATTTCTAATACAAATGGAATAAATTGTAAACTTGATTTCACAGCAGCTAACACAATGATGATCAAAGATAGAACCTGGAAAGAAAGCAACATCATGGGATAAAAGTTCAGATTTAATGGTAATAGAATTGAAATAGAATAACAACAACTAAACGTGACCTTGGGACGAAGAATACTTAATAAACTAAACAATAAAATAATAAAGGTCATATGAAAATAAAAATTTAAAATATTGTACTCTTGGTTACCATTACAAAAAATATTAACACTTATTCACATAATTATGTAATCTGGAATCATCTTAGTAACATATAAAGAATGATAGTTTTAAAATGGATAAGTTATAAAAAGTTCTTATCAGAAGGGGTTTTTATGGAGATTTAGTATTTTTATAGTTGAAAGCGTAAGTCAATTGAAGTTGAACCACCAGAGAAAACTTGGAAGCACTGGACGGCCGTTTCATCCTATTGTGATACTCCTTAGCTTTCGACCATAAAAATTTCACATTTCCTTAAAATAATCATCATCAAAATATCTTAATATCATCAAGTTCGTTAAGTAAAAAGTAAATAAGTTGACTGTCATGTTCCTGTATCCAAACAGTGAATACGTTAATCATGGCATTTAGCAATTTATAAAAAATGGGAATTAATGAACAATAGAGATGAACTAGTGACTAATTTACTACTTATAAGTTACTACTTATTATAATTTGTATATTTTGTTATTTCAATTTTCATAATTCCAATTAAATGTCTAATATATTAAAATTCACTTGGCATTGTTTGTTTGAATCTTCCCATTGATGTTTAGGACTGTAACTGGTCAGTCTCTTATTGGCATATATCCATACTGTGCGTATTGCCTCGATATAGCCTTAATTCACAAGCATTATAAGCAGCGATGGATAGTGGCTAGCAGTGGAATCCGGGACGCGCGTTTCGTCCTATTTGGGACTCGCGATGACGTTTGAAGCGAAAGGTACTAGGTTCGAGTCCCATAGTGAACATCAACTCTGAGATGCAGGTACATCCAGCTGACGAGTCCGAAATAGGACGAAACGCGCGTCAAATTGGATTCTACTGCTAGCCACTATCCATCGCTGCTTACTATGCTTGTGAATTAAGGTATATCGAGGCAATACGTACAGTATGAATATATGCCAATTAGAGACTGACCAGTTGCAGTCCTAAAAACATCAATGGGAAGATTCAAACAAGCAATACTAAGTGAACTTAATCGTTAGAATGATTATAATTAACGGGAGATGTGGGAAGTGAAAGCACAATTTATAACTTAATCAAATTTCCTATTTCATCAAGTATTGCGTAATATATGCAGTGATCAAATGAAATTGAGGATAATAAAAGCAAGGTGAATACTTAACATACTATTCAATCGTGTAGATTATTAAATTAGTTAACGTTACGTTGTAAAATGATATAAAGGAAAATAGGATATTTATCCAAAGCACATTACATTACTATAGAACAAGACACTGAACCTATTTCTTTCAAATGAACAGTTCAGATTACTCGTATGTAGTTCTAAATATTCAGAGTTCGACTGATTTTCGTAAAACACATTTTAATATGATGGATCATCTTCAATGATACATTAATGTTAACCTCATATACAACTGATTAATTTTTCAGTGGTGACTAGTATCATATTTGTCTTACTATTTAGTCCTGATTTATTTCTATAAATCATATTACAATTCCATATCGCACACACTATATTGATATATTAGGTGGTTGTATATAGTCTGAACTACTGTGTCGACTACAACTTTGAATAAGCACACTGTACTGTATCATTACAACAATAGATTACTGTAACATCGGTCAATGTAACATTTTTCATAGACATAATTTAATGAGTAGATTAAAACTTTCATTTAAATGACTTGAATTATATTGGCGCATCTTTAATTATAACATACATACATTTAATTTGTATCTTTCCATCAAAAATAATCTTTAATCTGTATGTATCTGTATTTTCAAGTGACTTCCTTTTCTCATTTATTTATTTCTGTTTTCATCATGGAGTTTTTTTTTGTTTTTTTTTTCTTGAACCGTAAAACTATTAATTTTTGATTTTAATCTATTTTGTTTCTAAGTCGTTTTATTGATTTAAGCGGTAACTATTTTTTTTTTATTTTTTTCAAAAAAAATAAATTTTTAATTGATTAAAATAATTGAATATTGTACAGTCGAATGATTTGAAAAAATTTAAAAAAATAAAAAACCCGGTTCTAAATATCAACGAATGACATTTGAATAATTTAACAAATTTTCAAGTTTTTTTTTGTTTTTTTATTAAGTTACTATGCATTTTGTTGTTGTTGTTGTTAATTGTCTTCATTAATTTTTCCGGTTTTATTTAACTCTTATGAATTATTAAAATGAATGTATATAAATATTACACCCTTGTGGTTGTTCTAAAAAGTTCATGAAAAACTTAACTGTTGTACCATAAATTAGACATTAATACCGTTTAATGCCGGCTCAGTGGTCTAGAGGTTTAGCGTCCGCGTGCGAGACTGATATGTCCTGGGTTCTAATCTCGCTCGCGAGGCGGGATAATGGATGCGCACTGCTGAGGAGTCCCACAATAGAACGAAACGGCCGTTCAATGTTTCCAAGTTTTCCATGGTAGTCTAGCTTCAATTGACTCATGATTTCAACTATAAAATTACTAAATTCTCCACAAAGAACCCCTTCAAATACAATTTTCATAATGTCTATAATACTTGCATCATTCAAACTACAGAACAAAAGTATAGAAATACAAAATTACACTGAGCTCGTTGATTGTCATAATCATTTAATTTCTCTTCCTCTAGTGATAATTACTATTGATGAGACCATTTGTTCTTCATATTCCTTGATGATATATTTCATTCTATACAGTTGGCTCCATTTGTGAATTTGAATAAAGCCACAATAATAGTCAGGACATGATAATATGAATTCCTTTTATCTTATTTCCTCTCTTCAGATGTTTACAGCCATATTCTTACTTACATTCAAGTATGGCATATGAAGTAGTTGACAATAGTGATGAAAAGTATTGGAGTTCCAACGTTTATTAGTAATAACTATATATTTTTGAATGAACATATGTAAGGTCATTCGAAGATAGGATTAAATAATGTAGACAAAAAGATAGTAATTTTATAGAGTAGACAAGATGAACTATGGAATAGTTATAATAGATGTGTAAAGTTTACATAAGTTTAAAATCATTCAAAAATAAGTGTAATATCTAACTTCAAACAATTCACAATATTGCACAATCATCTTCCAATGCCCGTTTCGATTATGGTTAATTTTGGTCAAGCCGTTTTATTAACTTACATAACAGACACTGTTATTCGATTAGTAACAATTTACGTGTTTCTTTGTACCGTTATGATCACTAGATCACATGACAGGCTCGAGCTAAAGTGTTGATCGCTTAAACATCACTCGATGATTCATTCTCTTTCCCATGTATGCATGTATGTACTCAAATTCTATTGTTGGCCTTTGCTTTACCTTACTATGCCTTTATGTGATTTGACTATAAATTTGCCTCTGTATTTTCTCACACATACATATTGGTCTCTCTGCTTCAAATTCGCTTGATGGGCTTGTAGCTTTATGAACTGCACTATCCGCTAATAAACTGTAGTTGCCACTTTTCATTGCCTTCTGATTTCAAACACCGTTGATATTTATATTATAACGGTTATCATGGGGATTGATTATCGAAACTATGCCACTACAATCTAACAGATTTTATTGTATTCTATTCCCTATAAATTCAAGTAGTTTTATGTTTACTCAAAAAGTTCTAATATGAAAATTAATACAATGTATCAACAATACAAATATTATGACTTCATCATATGATCTAAGTCAGTTACTATTATACTGCCGTTCATTACCATCTAAAATCATCCTCAATTCTTATCCCTTCTCAATCAATAATCAGTCTTTAAAACATAAGTCGCATTATATACATCATTTGTTCTGTTTATCTTTTTTAAACTGATTAACAAGTAAATGTTATGACGACATAAAACAGATCTAATCCGATTTCTTTTTTTTAACGAATCTAACTTATGTATCAACCCTACTATAAACTAATGAATGAATAATAAAATGAAATAGTCTATGAACTTTTCTTGATATCAACCGCTTTGAATTTTGTAGAAGTAAAAATATTCCTTCAAAATTATTCATGGAATGTAAATCATTGGTTCCTATGGTACATGTATTGGTAATATGAGGAAAAGAACGTTTTTTGCAGGTTTAATAAGATTTATTTAATTAATCGACCTAATGTTAAGTTACTATTGGGTAAAGGTGTAAATAACATGGCATTATTCGTCTTGATTTGTGATTTGTCACCATGTTAATTAATCTTTAACTAGTTTTCTATTTGCATATGAATATCCATACTGAATAATTTCTTTTCTGACAAGATTATTAATCGACATAAGTTCAACAAACCAATGAAATCTGGAAACACTGGACGGTCGTTTCACGCTGTCATAGAACTCTTCAGCAATGTGAATTCGTGACCCTCACACAGGGATTCGAACTCAGGACTTTTGATATCGCTCGTGAACGCTTGATCTCTATACCTCTGAGTGATGGGATTCAATGGTGTAGAAATTTTCAATGATTCATGTGTAGATGAATCATAGATACAATAAAATTTACAGTCGCGATGTGAACTAATATGATAGACCGATACAAACGGTTGTGTAACTTCATCTAAATTTGTATGTATATTTGTAACGTTACTAATTATGTTGCATGTCTATCTCAACTCCTCTATATTACTGTTGATCTCCCTTCATATTAACTTGTTTTAGGGAGTCGACATTAGCTGAATTCCAATTTTCAACTGTTCATTTTTACTGTATTTTCGCTCTTGTACGAATCGCTAAAAGATACACATCTGAAGAACTCCTGTTTTCGACTTTTTGTTTATACGCTGTATTTACATGGTTAGTCGACAGAAGCTATACGATTCGGGTCGTCAATTAAGGTCACCATTTGTTTGTTTTCACAGAAGAGAGACAAAAAGTTCACCAAAAAATCTATATGAAAATATTTTAAGATGAGTAGTATATTTCACTCACCTTCCTTTAGAATGTGTATATTGTACTAAATAAATATTTTTACCCGATTGCCAAGAACATGATAGTTTCACATAACCCAATGATGCTTGTAAACTGTTTGTAGGATTACTGTTCTCATTATAATTATACATTAATTTTGTATAATTCATACTTCTACTGTTTGTAGTACTAAACCAGTGTATGTTATTACTACTATTATTTCTGTAAGTAGTTTGCTCATCCACACTACAAATACTTGTTAAGTATTCTTTTAATGATGTCAACAGTATCAGATGTTGTGTATAAAGAATATGATGACATGATAGAAATAACCATGCATGATGTGAATCTCTTGTAAATAACATTTGTAACCAACCATATTGTAAATTTAAAAAATTAAATCTATAATTGTACAATTCTTCCGGTAACTGAAGTGAATAGAATAATGATGCCTTCTTGACATTATTATTATTGCTGTTATCATTACTATTTTGAGTTTGTTGGTGTATATTATTCAAACCATAATCTGTCATCCAAATTGATTCATGTGAATGATGTATAAAACTTGGGAAATAACAATTTTGTCCAGTTGTCCAAACTATTCGGTTATCCAAAGTGAATTGATAAAGTACTGTAATATAGAATGTAAAAATGAGTATTATTATTATTATTTAAATATTACCATGAATTCTAAAGACTAAGTGACGCTTGCTTACAAACCACCGGAAGGAGGAATGTATTGAATAAATGTTTCAAAAGAGGCAACAAGAAGACCTATGACTGTCGGAATTATCTAGTCCATCCAGACAAACGTCACTGTGAACTCTTCATTGGAAAGTAATGACTTTCCGAGCTGTCAATGTGTTTGTTGACCTGCTTAAACAGAAATTGTTGGAAAGTGATTTCAGTCAATGAACTTTAGATATTCACGTAATCATGATTCTGTGGTTGTGGGAAAGTACTGTTAAGATTACCATGACTTTGAACGAAACCTAAACTTATATTCATTTCTTACGTGTGTATCCTCCAACTGATGAAATTCTGTAGAACATGTTCTTAAATTAATCGCCTGGTAAAAATATCTGCACAGAAGCTGATTATGTATGAATATTAATACATATTGCTTTTGGGGATTTTTCTATTCTATGTAAAAACGTGTGTGAAAATTGCTTGATTTGTAAATGACAATTCTTAGTCATGAAGATTCCATAAGTATTTTGAGTTTAACAACTAGATCAGTAGTACCATCTATGATAGAGACGTCCCCATCCAATGAAATCAGAAGTCAGAATCGAAGAGGTCAAAATATATATTTGATAGGTTATCAATATATCGAGAAGTGACTGATCTAAACTGGCTAGTGGTCGTAGGAGAAGTTGAGCACGGCGTTACCACTAGTAGTCTGGTGCGGATGCGTGACCAAGATCCTTCAGCTAGGTGAGTCCATTAAAATTAATGTGGTCAACATCAAATGTTAAAGACTTACAGAGCTTATGATTTTGGGGATTTATTTACCACTAAAGTCGATTCGTATCCACAAATCAACCGATCTAGTCATTCGGATACAGTTATTTGTTTGAATTTCATGTAAATGTTTACTAAACATGTAAGTAAACACTGATTTTTCCAGTACGGTTATGTTATAAGTTAATAATAACTTAAAGGCAAATGTGTTACTCAGATTCTCCAAAAAAATGTATTTTCACATATTATGTTTAACATGAAAGAATGTTGTTCGAATGTGATAACAATTTAACAATCTTGATTGAGTTCATGAATGGATCAATGTTAGACAACCACTGAAAACCTAGAAGCACTGGACGGCCGTTTTGTCTTAGTATGGTACTATCGTCATGTACTCCGTTTAAATATCATTAGGTTAACAGTACTAATGTTATAGAATGAAGTTGAAGGTCATTTGTCGTTATATCTATACTACTGTCCTTTAATTATATATAAATCCTGTCTCATATAACTAATAATTGAAGTTGGTAGTATAAACTGGTGAATGGTAACTCGATAGGCTCAATGCTAAATATTTTCAGCAAAACACAAAAGTCCTGCGTTGGATCCTTGACATAGATTTAATTGTACACTTCTAGGGAATCTCAAGTTAGAATGAAATGATTGTTCAATATTTCTTGGCTTTTAATAGTTGTGTAGCTTAAATCATTCCGTGTTGTAAACTAACGTAAAAATACTGTACTAACTAATAGTCTATGGCTACTAGTTAATTTTTCAATTACATGAATATTCATTTCAGTTATGCGAACTATCTCAATAAGCCATTCAAAAAAAGTGTTCAACGATATTCTTTCACTTCAAATGATTGCATTCGACAATTTAATAATTTATGAGTTGCATCTTTGATAGATTTGCCATGCAAAACCAGAAAGCACTAGACAGCTATTTCATCGTAGTAAGGATGTGGTCAATAGTGGGAACACACAACTTCATCGCAAATCGAATTAACAATCTTGATATATTAGGGTAAACACCTAACCATTAGAACTAATTTGTGGTATAGCGCGACGGCCATCCAATGCCATTGGCTCTTCTAGCCACATTTAGAATAATCTACACTGTTCACACATACAAATTGGTTGTTCGGATCTTCGCATTGACGTTTAGAACTAGAAGTGATCAGTCATTTTTGGCATCTGTGCATCCTGTGCGGATTGTTTCAACATTGGTGACAAACATTTTAAGCATATATTGATTATAACTAGCACCAGTATCCAGGACGAGCGTTTCGTCCTATTTGGAACTTTCCAACTGGATGTATCTGTATGTCATGTTCACTCAGGGACTGAATTAACGAAAAATGTGACATAAAAGCATCGATAAACGGACAAATATTAAAATCACGGTACACCCAACTGAACTGTCAAGTTTTCAACCAGTGTAATATACTATACTGATTAATTTGTTTAATGAAAAAATAATGTAGCTAATTCTTTTAAAATCAGAAATATTGGTTCTTTCTTTCTTTCCTTCGCCTCTCCTCGAAATAGTTTTGATGCTTTATTGAGAAAAATCATTATGTATCATAAACGTGTTCTAATTGGAAGTGTTAAAGGCAGCTGTATAATCATCCTTCAGATTTATCATTTTGTTACTATGAAGAGATTACTTGCTTGATATGTTAACAGAAGTAGAAACTTCAAAATGTTGAAAAACATCACACCTCCATCATTTTCATCATGAAGGTAGGTATTTATCACTGATTATCAGTGAAATTATTGACTTGATTCAACAATTTAAAAAGTTACACACTACCTGTTACTCTTCTTCATAGTCGACTGAGAACGTCAAAAGTAGGATAAACCATCAGTATGAGGGATGTGGAGATTGTATAAATTTTGTTTCATTATACAAATCCTCATCAGTGCACATCCATGACCCACCGTCTCAGGAAATAGAGCCAAGGAGTTTCAACCTAGCACTCTGTTATAACGTATGAACTCGTAATATATATGAACGTGCAATTAGAGAAGAAGTGGATTTATTGATCGGACGCAAATGATACTTAAAATCGTACGAGCAGTCTTGAGTGCTATTCGGTCCTTCCTATCTACCTAGCCCAGCCAGTTAAGTCCAGAACACAAATAACAGCCTCAGTGGTATGAATCATTATTTACAAACATACTGGGTTTTTATACAAACCAGAGTAATCAATAAACTGATTATAACTCAAGAATCGTATGATAATAAATCAAAGATCAATATAAAGCTCATGATAAGAGAAACACGAATATGAATAGTTTAGTTACGTAACAATTGGAAATAGGCATAATACATTGGTCGATAAATAGTCCTTAGAGTTACCATTCATAATTCACTAGGGGATATAACACACTCAAAATTCTAATCTATAGAACATTGAGAGCCAGAATTCAATGGTTTACAACTCTAACTTCAATTAGTCTATTGTCTTCATTGATAACTTCCTCATAATCTACGCGATTTAGCTCCATTAGTCATGACTTCTCACTAGAACTCCAGGAATTCTGTTTAGAATCTAGTCACTAGTTAGTACATGATAATAAGCATTAAAGGGTTACGAAGATTGTTGAATTTTATTGAGATTAAACTTTTGAGCACTAGATTGAATGAATTGTGTTTAATATCCAGTTGTGTGATCGTAAATGAGCACTGTGAAAGAGTTCCATACTAAAACGGAAAGTTCGTCTAGTATTTCCTGATTTTCAGTGATAACCTACTTTTGATTTGCTCATGATTTTTAATGAAAAGAAAAAGAAATCCATATATTTACTAATACTTCTGTTATGTTGTGGTGAACAAGAACATAGGTGGAGACAATCGGATGAGTTTGACACGAAAATTACAGAATGTCTCACTAAAATCTGACAACCATACAGTAAGCAGTTTATTTGCAAACTATCAATCAATTGTCTCAATCTTGACTGTTTTCTCTGCAAATATCAATCCACCGTCTTTCAATTCATTGTTTATGCATTTTCATAACAATTGCGTTTCGTTTCTGTGCATTCGTTATCCATCTTCTGCTGAAATACATTATATGCCTGAGCCTCACCATTTACTTCTTGTGTGGATATAAGTAACCGACATCACAATGTCGTTGACTGATTAATAAAATTTAGACTATTACGATCATTTATTTTATCTTAGTTAAGATTTATTCTGAAATATAAATTGAACAATGAACACCTATGACTCAATGAGACAATTACATTTATTAAAATATAAGCCTTGAAGGAATCCCAAAATAGGACGAAACGACCGTCCAGTGCTTCCAGGTTTTCCATGATGGTCTAGCTTTAATTGACTCATGATTTTAACTATTAAAAATTCACAGTTAAACATAATTTAACTAATGTAAATAAATTGTGACATAATAATTGTATCGAAGCAATTGATAGAAGATGTACTTATTTCAATAAAGATTAATCAAAATTACCTTCTTAAAATTAATTATGGGATCATTCAAAAATCTTTATTACTATTCATTATATAATTATAATATTTATGACATTCACATGCCAAGTATATATCTTTATAAAATTAATCCTGATATATTAAAGTATGGATAGTTTTTGGCATTGAATTAAATCATACACAAAGGTCATTAATGGTGAATAGAATCAATTCATTAGTACTGAATTTTAAAGTTGTTCTTGTTCTTCTTCTTTTGTTCATCTTAATAGTTTGAGATTAATTCAGTTTATTTATTTTGATTGAGATAGAATGATATCAGATTGTTTGTTTATTTGTGTTTGTTTGTTTGGTCGGTCGGTCGGTTGGTTGGTTGGTTGGTTTTGAGCTGAATGATTGAGTGGTTAGTTACAAATGTCAAAAATTTGAAAATTATATATAAAGTTTAATAAGAAAAATATTAAAAAAACTACAAATGTCCTTTTCAGAAGGGGGTTTCGTAGAGATTTTTGTAATTTTATACATGAGATCATAAGTCAATTGAAGCTAGACGACCATGCTTCCAGGTTTTCCATGGTGGTCTATCATCGAATGACTTATGATCTCATTTATAAAATGTTCTTTTATTGACTCAAGGTTTTCTTTTTTATGTCTAATTATATGTGTGTACGTTTTTATATGAAATTACATTTATTTACACTGTGAAGTTCTACG